CCAGCAGCGCTGCCAGCAGCAGGAAGGCCGTGCCTGTGGCCCGTGAGGCCGGAGAGCTCAGCAGCGTCTCGTTCCCTGGGGGGCGGTAGCAGTCAGTCATCCTTCTGTACCTACAGGGGGCTGGAAAGGGCCATGGGGCGCATTCAGGGGCTGGGGCAAAAGCCAACGTTACCCCTGAGGCCAGGTGAGAAGGGACTGTGCCTCCCCTCGCTTCCCTGAAGCCTGCCTCTCTTCTGTCTGGGAGCCTTGGCTTCCTCTGGGACCCCAGCCCCAACTCAAACACTACTTCTTGGAAGCCAGGTCCCCTGCTCTCAGTAGGCTGAGCTCCCCAGTCCTGACTCCCAGGCTGTCACCACCTCCACCTCCACTCCTCTACCCTTCTTTGTCCAGCCCCTTCCGTCTACCTCGGGGCAAAAGTGAGAGGTGGTAAGGGCCCTTGGGCAGATCTACTTACCCAGCTGCAAGCTAGAAGGGTGAGGGGCCCACAAGGGACCTGGGGAGGCTGCAAGGCAAAGCAGCGAAGGTCTTGGTGCCTACTCCTGTCCCGTGCCTGTCAGATTTGCAGAGGGTGAGGCGAGAATGGGGAGGGGCAAGGTGGGGCCTTTCCCAGGGCCCCTCCCTCACCATATTCCTTCCCATCGCTAACTCGTCCAGGCATGTGAGGTCCTGCCTCCTGGGAAACAGGATAAGCTGAAGGGGTGCAGATAAGGTTCCCTGGTTGTGTAGGTGGGTGAGTAGGGACACTGTTGAATCCTGACCTGGGTCCTGCTTCTGTGCTCATCCCCCCCCCGCCCCCCCCCGCAGCTCTGGTCCCAACCTCCCTAACCCTGCAGCCTGATGCTTTCTGGCCTCCTTGGTCTGCACTTAGTAGGAAAGGTGACCCAAGCCACTCACTTTCCCTGCTGCAATTTCTTTGCCTGTTTCTAGACTCATGGCCCTGCTGAGCCTCCTTTTTCCTCAGCTTCCTACCTACCCCTCTTGCCTCTTGCCCCAGTCATTCCACCCTCAGGGCTCTCACTGGGGCTGTCAATGACCGCTTTCAGTGTAAAGCATGGTGCTAAGTCCTGTGGGGTCTGGGGGAATGCATGGAGGTGTAAGGGGCATCTAACCTGGCTGAGGAGTTACACACACAACCATGAAGAGGCCACATTACTAGGCTGCACCAGGATACAAGACAAGAAAAAGGGAAAGGTTGTAGTGGTAGAGACATGCTGAAAAGAAGCCTTCTCTGGTGGAGAAGTCAGGCAAAACTTGGAAATGAAAAAATTTGAGGGGACCTGGTTCATTGATAAAGTTGATCCCTCAGTCAACAGCCAGAACTGGGGGTTCTTTGAGAGCTAGGACACCAGTACTGTCTCCATTTGGGTTCCCTCCAAAGCAGAGTCTGAGTTAAGGACATGATACAGGTAATCCTGTACTCATTAAATATAACTGAACAGAACTCCAGAGACCTGTGGAATAATATTAGAGATCAAACAGAAGTCCCAGAGGAAGAGAAGAAAGTCAGATGGAAAAGGACAAGAACCATATGATTTCACTCATATGTCGGATATAAAACAGGAAGCAACAAACAAACAAACTCAGACACAGCAACACAGTTTGGGAAGCAGGAGTGAGAGAAGAGAGGGAAGAGGAAAGCCAATAAGAGCATTATTGCGCTCCTTCAGTAGGCATCAGGAATGTCTAAGAAGTGCACTGAATGAGAAAGGAGGCATTGACGCTCCTGTACACACTTGTAGCCTGCACTTGCCAGGGGGCAGGCTAGCTGCCAAAGCTGCAAACGAGACTTCTGGGCAGGAAAGCAGAGACTTGCACTCAAGTGAGTTCATTGTCAGTGAGAGTCTGAGCTTCCACACAACTGTCCAGCACAACTGCAGCTGAAATCAGGGATGTGACATGGAACACCGGAAGGTAAATTCCTGATGCCATCAGAGGACACTCCCTTTCCCCCTTCACATCTCCTTCATGGCCAAAGGAGAAAAGTGAGAAATGCAGAGTGGCTGAAGCAGGCGGTTCTGCAGAATTAAATCAGGGAAGTGTTGAGCCAGCTGCTCCCCTAGACCACGAAGGAAAGAGCAGGAAAGCAAGAAGTTCCTTGCCACAGGATCCTGGCGGTCCATGGATCAGGACCCATCCTCTTCTACGCCCCACCCAGACACACTGCCTCACCTCCCATTTCTCCAAGCCCTTCCCATGATCTCACCCTCAGCCCCGCCTCCCTTTTCCTAATGTGGCAGTTTATGAAGTTTTCAGTAGGTGGCAGTATGTACAGCACAAGTCACATACTGTGGCTTCTATACTTAGAAATTCCCTCCATACAAAGACAATCGCCGTCCTCTTACATAGTTACCATTAACCCTCACATCACAAGCTGCCACCAGAGACAACATCCACACAAAGCTTCCCTGGCTTCTGCCTGGCAACTCTGGGCCTTAACCCTTCTTCCAGGACCCCATCTAGGCCCCTCCTCTTCTCCCTCCCCTGGGACTTTGCCCTTCCTACAGGCCCTCCAGGGGGCCAGAGTCCGGCTTGACTCATCCTCCACCTCGCTGGGGCTGAGGTCCCAGCTCAGTAACAGTAAACATCACTTCAGCCCAGCACAGCGGAGAACAACCCAGCCCAGAATTCTTCTGCTCTTTCC